TTTTTTTTTTTTTTTTTTTAGTGGCGGAAACGGGCTTCCATATCTTGTTGCTACCTTATAGTGTCACCATTTAACCATTACTTTTAGAAGCAAGTACTCATAGCCTTTATTCTTAAGAGCTTTAAAAAGCTATTAGACTCCATTAGACTTGTTCAAATAAATGGAGCTTTTAACACCCTAAGGTTAATTAAGGAGTTCCACAGGGTTTTGTACCAGGCCCAGTTGTATTTACATTATACATGTTTTAGGCAGTGTTGTACATCTTCACTGATATGCAATGATACCCAGCTGCAGATATCTATAAAGCCCAGTGACACACCAATTCGACTGCAAGAATGTGTTAAAGACAAAAAGGCCTGAATGACTAAAACTTATAAATTCAGATACTTTAAGAGGTTTTTTTTGTTTTGTTTTGTTTTTTTTAATCACGATTTCAGAGTTGGTGTGTTCGATTTGCTTTTAACTTCAAAATTCAATGGATGTAATTTACATTTGTATGTTTCTTGCTCTCAGCTACTTTAACCTTTCACTCACAGCATTTAAGCTTTTACTATTTGCTACTTATTAGGCTACTTTGCTGACATCTAATATTAGCTTTTGAAGCGCGTATGTTTGTCTGTTTTACCTGCTTTAATATTTTACCAAATGCGTTTCATCTTTTCTCCATTGATCTATTACTAGTATCCAGAATTTATCCTTTACTTTATTCAACTTCTTATTTTATTTTGTTATTTGTTTTTACTTTTAGATGCTCTCTCATGTGGTGCATATACTTTGTTTATTGAAACACTATTTGATTCAATAGATATAAGCTTACACATTTTACTGCTATGTTTAACTTTTGCCATTTATTTACATACTTAGTTAATTTGTTGCTTATTTATTACTTCCAGGAACATATTGTCCATGACACTTTTACCACATTCAATATTAATAGCTAACAAATTAAATGAGCTTAACATTTACACATACCATGTAGCTGCTTAATATGTATTTGTTACTTTTTTCAAACTTTCATCTGCATATCCACAAATTGTAGCTTTCAACTTTAAATTTGTTGTTAAACAGTATGTTTGATTTTTTTTTCAATTAATTTTAACTATTTCAAATGTTAATTTCGACTTGTGTTTTTCACAACTACTTTAATATGTAGTAGAGTGTAACCACTTATCAGTATACCAGTTAATTAGTATAAAAAAACGGTTTTTTTTTTGTTTTGTTTTAAATTAAATTAATATTTTTCAAATCCTGAAAGGCTGCTGAAGGGTTTGCCCCTGTGCTAAATTATGAAGAAAAAGAAAAGATGAAGTCTAGCTGCAATAATGTCAAATAAAATAATAAAGTAATTTGCATAGGTTCATGTTCTGCATTGCCTAATAACAGCTGCTATAAATACTCACTGGTGGCAATATACCTGATAATGAACACAGAGTGGAAATATAAAGTGTGATGAAAAGGGGCAGGTCATGCATAGGAAATCATTATGTAACAGATTTCCAGTAAACTCTTACACAAGGATTAGCATTGCTTATAACTGGGTAGACCAGAAATGGGGCAGTGTGGTAATCCTCCTGAACGACAGGGAACCAACAAAGGCCTTAGCAGGAGTAACCTACATCTGGGTTACTAAAGGTGTTTCCATGTTGACACTGAGATTAATGGGAAATGCACCTTTTCACACAATGCACTGCATTATACAGAACTGTGCAAAAGTAGTGAGTTAACCCAATTCTTCTAAAGAGCCAGAGTTTCTTGTATTTTAAAAAACAAACAAGCAAACAAACAGTGATCTTGAGCAATAGATTACTTAAATTCTCCAGTCTTTCTAAATGACCATGTCTGTGTTTTTGCTTCAATATTGACTGGTTTTTCATTCATTTTTAGATGAGGTGGGAATCACCAGACACCCACATTATTATTATTATTATTATTATTATTATTATTATTATCACAATATTTCACTCACAATATGAAACTGTGACTTTTAACATTTTCCAATATGCTGACCAAGTTTCCTGTTATACAGTAATGTAACCAGAATGCAACCAACAGCCAGCCAGTTGAGTTCCCTCACGTTGTGCTCACTGACAAAGATGGCAACATGTTAGAAAACTGTCTGCATTTAGAAAATAGACCATATTTATTTGCAAACCTTCAACAATCTCCCTGAAAGTGATTTTAGTCAATCCAAGGCAGACAGCAACTTCTTTTGGAAAGTTCACCTCTTATCAGGTAACCCGTTGAATGGCTTTGGACAACTATTTAGTCGCCACAATCTGTCACAGAATGTGAAGAAATTCAACACAGTCACCACGCAGCCACTTATTCTAGATGCAATGAAGTTGCTGTCCTATTTTTGCTGGGGTGTCTAAGCCATTAGCTTCGAATAAGTTTCCTTAGCTAATGTTATCTCGGGAGGAGTAGTATTCCCAGAGTATTTTAATTTATTTAATAAAATATCAATATTTGGTGTCCTTGTATTGACACAATTTTGCCAAACAAAATATTGTAATTTTAAGTTGTGTTGATGTTTTTTCACCCAAATTTTGTTATTTTCAAATTTTAGTCCAGTCCTTGAACCTGCCCACACTTAGCAAATAGCCAGTTTTAAATCAGAGCCTTCTACACTTTGTTATTGCCAGCCTATCACAAAGGCATACAATCTGATTTCTTTAGTGAATATACAAAAATGCCAAAGATAACAGTTTGGCAGGCATAAAGTGGTATTTTCTGCCAACAAAGTGATTTGTAAAGAGCTATAAGGTGAAAACTTCTGTCCCTAAAAAAATTGAGGAAACTGGATAAGTGCTGAAAAAGAAGTTGCACTGCTAAAAAATGGAATAATGAACACAGAAAGGTGCCATCAGATTGTGGTACCAACAATACATCGCAAGCATCAGATTGGCAACCGCTTAATTTTTAAGCATGACCGAAATCCCAAACACACTGCTGATGCAGTAAAAGCAGTTTAGAAGGAGTTTCAGTAAACCCATTTTCCTAGCAGAATACAAAGAATGAGGGGGGACTCAAGTATCCTCAGGTTTACTGCTATTGTAAGAGCTTTGTGTCTTTTGTGTTTTAAAATTGACTTCGGCAGGAATGACCCAGAAAAGTCATGATATTCAATACTTTAGCACACATTTGGGTGGCACACAAGTAACGTGATCTGACACTTTTTTGTTTTGGATCCTTTTGTACAATTTGTAAAAAACACAGGAAAAAAAAAACATCTTATTACATCAAATAAGTAACATTATATCCTATATCTGTCTCCAAAATGCCATATAAGGAAGGGGGAAGTTGATGGCATGTTAAAGGCAAGGGTGTTTCCAACAGCACCAGTCCAGTGTGGCTCGTTGTGAACATTTGCACGTTGGTCGTCCACAAACCACATAAACACCATGACATCTCTCCTGCTTGGAGCAGCGCTGCTGGGCAACTTGGGCATCTCTGTCACAGCACAAGGTAACTTCTTAGAATTTATTTCTCTGTATTTTTATTTCCATGTAAAACATGTGGTTTAGGGCTGTTCTTGATCTAAAGTTAGGCTGATTTACATCTGCCTCACCTCACTGCTCCCATAATGAAACCAAGAAGTATAACTTTACTGGTGCCACAGAAAACCAAACCAACCAATAGCAGAACTCACAGCATCTTCTGCTAGAAATCTACTTTTTCATTACCTTTTCCCTAGTCTAAAATTCATTAGTAAATCCTGAACAACTGAAACACACTTTTTGAGTGATTATCAAAGTCTAGACTTGTTGAAATAAAGAATGAAGTGTAATGTTATTGTTGGGAGTGAAAACAAAGTTGGTCCGACGCTGCTGTGTTTGTTCAGAAAGAACAACAGACAAAGGTGTGAGAAAAAGATGATTTTTGCCATG